GGCAGATGGAAGTGCTGATGAGGCTAATGATGGTTCATCAGCCCCCCCCCCGACTCAGCAAAGACGGGAAACCTCTGTGTTAGATTTGGTTCTTTAGCTGGAAGCCCGAAATTAAACCAGAGCAGATCAAAAGTACAAATATGACATTTATTGGTCAGAAGCAATAAGTACCAAGACCAAATTCCCGGAGGATCTCAGTCTGGAAGAGCCTGGATTTCTGGGGGTGATGGACAGTTTTCCTAAAAGAAATAAGACGATCACTTATTTAGATGGATTATCTGTTAGCATAAGATGCTAACGTGAGTAACTAGAGCCCAGTTCTTACCGTAGCTAATGACAAATATACACAGTTTGAGCAAAGATTTCCACAGATTTCTGTATTTATTGTTAGCTCGATTCGTTAGTTGTAAGCCTGAGAATAAACCAGAGCAGATCAAGAATAAAAATATGATATTTATTGGTCACAAGCAATAAGTACCAAGACCAAATTCCCGGAGGATCTCAGTCTGGAAGAGCCTGGATTTCTGGGGGTGATGGACAGTTTTCCTCTGGGCCTCCAACAGGAGGACGACTGTTATTGGCCAGTTAGCTCTGACAGGAACAGGCCAGGTCCTAATTCATGCAGGTTTAGGTGGAATGTGATAAGAAAGTGTGGATGTTGACCTCGAAGACGAGTATCTACTGTAACAGAGGAGGAAAAGTATAATTCTAAAGGGAATGATATCAATCTAAAAAGGAATAAGAAAATAAGTCATTTACATGGATTAAGTTATAACATGCTAAAGTGAGTACTTATAGCTCAATTCTAACAAGATAATAGTAAACAACTAGCTTTACTTTGACTACTAAATGTGAAGCGTTTAATAGCAAATGTTGGCTTATCTTCATATAAATACTAAAGATTGTTAGCCCAATTCTTTAGTTGGAAGCCTGAGAATAAACCAGAGCAGATCAAGAGTAAAAATATTACATTTCTTTTCTCCTTTTGTCTTCCTTTTGCTTCCTTTTTTCGCGTTTTCCTGTTTCTGATCAAGGCTAACAGGCAGCCTGAGTCACAGATCTTTGGTTTGAAGTAATCGTTAAGTAAAACAAACAACTTTTCCCTTAATTAATTAATTAATGAATTAAGCAGCGGCCCACTCAGCCTGGTTGTGTTTTCCAGCTCTTTGGGCCACTTCTCTGTCAGAATCCGGGTTTTTAGAGCCTGAATTAGCTGTTTAGGGTCAGTTTGACTGAGTCGTTTTGGACTTTGAGCCCATCTTTTCTGGCGTGTGGAGTTTTTTGGTTGGAACTCTTCATTTGAGTCTGTCTGTGATTTTATGTGGGTTAGAATCAGGGTTTTGAAGTTCGTTGGAATCTGGTGTTAGCTAGCAGGGCTAACAGCTATGAAAAGTAGTTAGCTCTAGTTATTTGTTATTTTTTGTAACTGAAAGTTCAATGACGAAAAAGGGCCTGCTGATGTTTAGATATTTTCTTTTATACTAAAAGGATTATTCGAGGATATAGTAGTTTTATAGTACTTTTACTTGAATACTTTTCTATTATTTTTGTAAAATAGAAGACATTCTCACATTTTATTGCACTTTATTTATTACATTTTCAATATTTAGTTTATTTATTTATGTTTACTTTTGACACACAGGTGACATTTTATGTTTTGGCCGCAAAATAAAAAGCTAAAAATTAATTTTGAATAAAAAGAACTCGATTGAAATAGCAATCCCTTGACTTTTTGGGAAATTGGTCGTAAAAATGAGTCAGAAAATGAGTGGTATTGGCTCCGTTTGTGAGGCTGATGGCTGCTGGCCGGTTTCCTAAAGGCTCATTTTTCTGTCTGGGGCTGAGCAGCTCTGTGGTTTCAGACCACAAAGTGGCTGTTTAGACCCCAAACATGAGCTGGATTCCTAATTGAAGTCTGCTCTGAGCTGGACTGGACGTGGTTTCCCTCTGGGAGCCGTAAACACACACATTTCTGCTCATTATTGACTGGAAAGACATGAAAACGAAGCATCAGAGTCCCGGCTTCCCTCCCAAATTAGCCACTTCCACCCCAACAAAACAGGCAAATCTGGGTTTGCTGTTTATTTCTGATGAGCTGAGGCCTAAAAACAGTCAGATCCAGCTCAGGAGGAGAGAAAAATCCACCTTTAGCTTCATTTCCAGATTAAATCCTGACCTGCTGAGACCCCGATATCAGGCTTTTTTTCTGCATCTGGTTCAGTGGTGGAGAAAGTACTCATACAATGTACTTAAGTAAAAGTACAAATACACAGACAAAAATTTACTCAAGTAAAAGTCAAAGTACCGCATTATTATTTTACTTAAGTAAAAGTAAGAAAGTACAAGCTTTTAAAACTACTTAAGTATTAAAAGTAAAAGTACTTGCCAGTACTTGTCATTAAGTGTACCTATCGTATTTAGTTTGAATAAATCAGTAATGTACCATTTTAATGAGCAATGCTGCAGATAAAGCATGTTTTTCTTGGGTTTAACCCCTGTGACAGTTTAGATTTAGATATTTTATGCTCTTCTTGAGGGAGGGCCTGATGGTTATTTCCCGCTTTGGATTGGTTCAGCGGACTGATTCTGCTCTCGCCATTGGATACTTTCAAACTAACGAACAAATCAAAAAACCCAAATGCGTCTTGGATGTAACGAGTAACGAAACGCTGTATAGAAATGTAGTGAAGTAGAAAGGACAGATACTTACTGTTAAATGTAGTGGAGTAAAAGTAGAAAGTATCCATTATTAAATCTACTTAAGTAAAGCACAGATACACGGAAATTGTACTTAAGTACAGTAACAAAGTTCAAGTACTTCGTTACTTCCCACCACTGATCTGGTTCGGGGATGAGAGCATTTAAAGGGCCAGCTTTTGATCCCACCTGGATTTGGGAACGCTTATTGGACAGGAATGCCTCGTTTTGTGGGGAAACACTGTAGTTTTTTAGGGTCCGGAGCTCCGTAACCGAGTAAATCTGAAGACAAAACGTCTGTGTAGTGGATAGAATGGGTTTGGGCGTGCCATAGTGATGCCGTGCACTAATTGGTCATTCAATTGGGGGCGGTAGCATTTAAAATATCACCTGTTCACTCGCAAGGTGACAGTTTTAGTAGTGAGCGGGTGATGGGGGAAGCCTACTTTTTGCTTTACGCTTTACGCTTTACACAATATGCTTTTACGTCTGATCTAATTAAGTTTGCTGTGAACGTTCACTCTGGATTACCGCTTGTTGGATTATGGATGCCTATGAACTGATTCAGTGACGTGTTTAATGTTGGATATTTTTCAGTTTTATCATTTCTGTCCTATATTTTTATTGCTTCTCATAGAATTGTTATGTTGTGCACCAAACACCAAGGCAAATTCCTTGTAAGTCTAAAAACCTACTTGGCAATAAACCTTATTCTGATTCTGATACCTGAAGATTAAATAAAGCAATAACACGAAGACTTTGGACTGGCGTTTCTAGTTTCCCCTAATCAGCTGCTGGGCGACCTA